GCGTGCGCTCGCCAGACAGACAGAGAGAGACATAGAGACAGAAAGCGAGAAATCACCCCCCAGGGGGGATGGCCACACCGCAATCCCTTCCCCTCCATTCTCCTCTCGGGATCTTGGGCACGCACGCACACGCGCCCGGCGTGAGTTTTAAGCCATCGGGTTCGGGACGCAAACCGCGGTCAACTACGTGGGAGTCCAGCGACATAGCCATTATGCTAACTGCTGGTTCCCCAGACTTGACTTTCTCATCATCGTGCCTCAGCTCGAAAGCTCCTGTCCCAGAGAGGCCCTCCTGGTCACCCTACTGCAGTCCCCACCCCTTCACAGCACTTCTCTTTTAAAATTTGTCTTTGTTCTTTGAAATGCTCTTGCTCATGGCGCCTGCAGTAGAATTGTGGCGGGCTTAGCCTGCCTTGTCAACAGTCGCATTCCAGCTCCTAGCAGACGCCCAGTGAGTATTTGCTGAAAGAATGTAAGTGACAGAGCTGGCATTTGAGCTTGGGCCTGTTTGGCTCCAAAGCCTGTGGGGTCAGCTTAGACGCTGGGGCAAGGGTAAACTGTCTGCAGACAGTCGGCCTGAGCCGGCCCATCAAAGTTGCCTGCACCGCGACCCCTCTCATTGCCTGAAGCTCATCGAGCTAGGGCTGACAGCAGGCAGGAAGGGCGGCCTGGCCTCCACCTTCCCACAGCGTCCCTGTGCCTAGCTGTCCTCCCTGGCCTTTCCTCCTTACCTGGGGTAACTGCTATTCCCGATGAGAATCCTGCCCAGTGGGTATTTCTTGTCCCCAACTGTGACTGGGGGGCTCACTTCCAGGTTCCCAAAGGAGTCAAGTCCGGTGATGCCTCCTGTCTGGGGCCCTCGGGTCACGTAGCCAAAATCTGGACCCTGAGATGGGAGAAGCGTGCAGCAAGATTAGGGAAATTATCCCTGGTGAACGGTGGGTGGGCTTCAAGTGGAAAGAAGAACTGGCAAGAGGAATTTGGGGGCTGTCAGGGGCTGGCACATGGCCGGGACCACGATCCCTGCGGCATGTCGGCGGATGCTGAACGGATTTGGCGGCAGGGAAAGGGTCTAGCATCTGCTGTGTCCTAATGCATGCCAGCTGCTTCACGAGCCTTAACTCAGGCATAATAATGAGCCCACAACATAGCATTTTATCCTCATTTTACAGATGAAGAAACTAGGTTCAGAGCAGAGACGGGCTTCCTCGGGTCCCGGGCACTGTGTGGAGGGCAGGATCCAAGCTGTCTCTCTGGCAAGGGCTCTTGGTCCACCTAGTGCACGTCCTGGTCTCGGGCTGAATGAGCTGCTCAGGTGGCGTCTCCCATGGGTGTTCATGAGAAGAGCAGGTGGCACAACTCTCGTCCCCTGAATGAGGTCCTCTGGCTACTGTAACCAAGTGCCACCAACTGAGGTGGCTTAAATAACGCACTCTTGTTCTCTTACAGTCCTGGAGGCCGGAAGTCTGCAGTCGGCGTCCCTGGGTTAAGGTACAGGTATGGCGGGGCTGGCTTCTCCTGCAGGCTCTGAAGGAAATGTTCCCTTCCTTGTCTTTTTCTGTGTCCAGTGGCCATCTTGGCTGGTGGTCCCTCCCTCCATCTTCAAAGCACATGCCTGCAGTCCCAGCTTCCCACGGCCCACGCCCTGAGCCACTCCGAGCCTCCGTCTCCCTCGACACAGGAGTGTTACCATTACGTGCACAGAAGCCGCCTGGGTCGTCCAGGGTAATTGTCCCACAGCAAGTTCCCTAACTTCATCACACCAGCAAGTCCCTATTGCCACATAAGGAAATAACTGGTTCCGAAGTTGGGACGTGGACATATTTGAAAGGCCTTATTCAGCCTGCACGCCCCCCATCAGAGCCCGTACCAGAAACTCTAATCGTCTACCCAGGGACGGTCAGTAACCTGGGGCTTCCTGGGCCCTGCCAACTCCCCGAGAGTAGATTCCAAATTCCATGCCCAAGTGCCTTTTTCTGGGAAGATGAGCAGTCTCAAGGAGATCTGGGATTCTACCAATTTAAAAGCCATTGTTTCAGGGCCTGCACCGTGGCCTGATGGTTAAGGGAGCTGGAGTCCACACAGCTGACCACAGGGTTCAAATCCCAGCCGTGGCAATTTGAAAAACATGCCAGGTGCATGTGTGGGTGCCCGTCCTGACAGGATGGTGACGTGGAGGAGGGCAGATGGCAGCATGACCGTGGCCCAGGGTGCTTTCTCCCTTCCCTCTGTCTCTTTGCCCTCTGGCAAAACAAAAACCATCACTTCCAGTTCCTCTCGGCCCTTTCTAAAACCCATGCCAACCTGCCTCCTCCCCCACTGCCCATCAAGACTGCTCCCTGCAATTTCACGACCATGCAGTTAAACCCCGTGGGCAATTCCCGGACCTCGCCTCCCCACCAGCAGCAACCAAATGTCCCAGTCACGCCCCGCTCTGGGCACGCTTGCTGCACGTGGCTTCCAGGACACACGTGTGCTTGGTTCCCGTCGCCTCACTTGTCCTCTGATGGTCACCCTAGTCTCCCAAAGTTCACCCGTGTGACAACCCCACCGCTGTCCCTGTCTTCCCTTCTCTCCCAAACATAGTGACATGCCCAATGCCTGCCTGACTCTCCACCTGCCTCTCCTCCACCCTGCACGCCCCCAAGCCGCCCCTCTTCTCACAGTCCTCCCCTGTGCCGCAGTGCCTGCCTCATTTTGCCTCAAAATTTATTGTTAACTACATAAAAGAGTTGTAGTTATTTATTTTTTTTTTGAGAGGTTTTTGCTATAGGGCACATGCGCTTACCAGGAAGACAGAGAGAGACAGAGAGACAGAAAGCGAGAAATCACCCCCCAAAGGGGATGGCCACACCGCGACCCTTCTCCTCCATTCTCCTCTCAGGATCTTGGGCAAGCACACACACATGCCGGTATGAGTTTAAGCCACCGAGTCCGGGACTCGAACTGCGATTGACTACATGGGAGTTCAGCGACATAGCCATTACGCCAACTGCTGGTTCCTATCTTGTCTCTTTCATGGTCGCACTGCTGCTCTGTCCCGCATGCACCTAGAATCCTGCCCCTCCTCCCCTCCTCCCAGGTCCCCTGAGCCCCCCTGGCCTGCACCCCATATCCCACCTGGTTACTCTCCCTACTCTTGCCCTCGGTCTGGCCCCCTGCTGTCTCTTCTCAACAGGCAGTCAGAGGCTGTCCCTTCTACCCATATCAGATCAGAACCCTCCTGTCACACCCCGCACTGATCCTGGTTTCTCAGATTCTAAACAAATGGCCTTCCAAGGGCCAACAACCCCTGTCTGCACCCATCCTGCCACCCCATCCTTCCACTCCTCTGCAACTTGCCCCGCCCCACCCCTGCTGCTCCTTGAAGACAGACATGCTCCTGCCGAGGGCCTTCGCTCTGGCTGTCCCCTCGGCCTAGGACACTCCTCAGACATCCACAGGGTCACCCGCACCTCCTTCTAGTCTTCGCTCCCGTGTCACCTCTCGATGAGGCCTACTCTGACCACCTTGCTTCACATCACAATCAGATCACCCCTGTCACTTTGGCATCTGTGCACCCTCAGTTCTTCTCTGGCCTGTCTTTTCCCGTCACCTCCCAACTGCCATACTATCCCTCTGTGACCATGGGTGGCTCACGGGTCAACCTCAACTGTTTACTCTTACAAATCGCCACCTGGCTGTCACCATGGGAGGGACCACTTATAGAGGCTTCAGGCTTGGATTTCTGCAGACAAACGAAGGGGTGTCCGCTGTCTGCAGAAGCAGCTCCCCGAGAGTGGGAGGTGCCGGGGATGCTCACGGGTATTGGGTCGTACAGCTTCTGGGCATGGGGTTGGGAAGTGGTGCCCTTTCATCTTCCTCCAGTCTTTCTGGTCCCTCAAAACTTGAAGTCGCAGAGTGATGCGAATACACCTTCACACCCTTCACCTTGCAGTCTCGCACCTTAACAGCCAGGGGGCAGCCCTCGGCCCGAGTTGGTGCAGTCCCTTCCAAAAAGCAGCTTCGGTAGCATTATTTTAATCCCGCGTAATGTCCTGGTGGCCTCTACTCAGAGTACGTGCTACAGGTCCCCACTCAGGACGCTGTCTTTGGGAAGGGCCCTGCTGTGCATCAGGCAGGGAGTTCCCTGTGTGACGGGCATGAGAGCCAGGCTGTGCCCTTGCCTAGCAGGGCAGCAGGCCATGAGGAACAAATGAAGAGCCAGAGATTTATTGCAGAACACTCCAGAAGAAACCAGCAGGGTGCATGGTCAGGGATGCGAGGGCCAGGATGGGTCTCTCCTCTGGTGTCAGGGACAGTCTCACTGAGTCAGGCATTGAAGCCGAGATCTGAAGGCTGAGAAGCCACCCCCATGAACGTGAGCAGGGAAGAGCATGCCAGGCTGTGGAATGGCATATGTGAAGCCTGGAGGTGAGAAAGAGCTGGGCACGTTTGAAGAACAGAAAGGAGCCCAGTGGGGCTGGAATCCATTGAGGGACAGGGAGAGAGGCCGGGGTGATGCTGGAGAAGCAGGTGGGCTGACTCGGGAAGGAATTTGACCGCCACTCCATCCTGAGTGACTGCAGTGAGCCGTGCAGACCCGCACAGCCGAGGGCCCGCTGCGGCCTCCTCCATCCACATCTAACTGCAGGAAAGGCGCTGATGGGGCTTCCTGGCTGGTGGGACTCTGGAGGTCTGGCTCACAGCGTCAGAAAATCTGGCCTGTCACATGCAGGGTGTCAAAGAAGGAGATGCGGCCACTGAGCGAGGGAGGGCTGGGGCCAGTAAGAGGCAGGAGAGCCACAGAGGCAGCTGGCTGACTCCTCCCGGGCAGGGTTAACTAGACCATGGCTGAGCGGGCACCCCGAGCCCAGCAGACGCTCTGCCTTACCACTGCTCAGTGCCGTGTGTGGCCGGGAGGGAGGGATTTGGACAAGCTGTTGAGTTAAACTGTTAAACTTTGTGTTTCATCACAAAGCCTCCTGTGTAGAGGGCCACTTCGCCTTCCCTGGGGGCACAGATCCTCCCGGGGAAGGAGTTCGTGGCAGCAAGCCTGTACCCCACATTCCTTCCTCTGTTTCCCCCTGGCACCTGGGTTGTCAAAGGGCTGCCAGGACGCTGCCTACAGGCTGGGGTCTTCTGGGAAATCAGGGAGGCAGGTGGGGGAGAGCGTGCTCACGGAGACAGGCTGGTGGGCGAGTTTGCCTCCAACCCCTCCACTCTGAGCCTCGGTTTCTTCACCTCTAAAATGGGCTTACTGAGAGCATCTCCAAGAAGGCACAGGTAGAGGACTCGCACAGTGCAGTCACAGGCCGGCCCGGTCAGCTCAGCCACTGTCCTGACTGCTCTGATTCTGCACAGCCGACCTGCCGGCTAGACACGCACGCCTCACGACACGCTCGGCCACTTCCACCCCCCCACACCTGGGCTTCAGCCCATAGTCACAACCCAGACCACTGACCTGGAGACACCCCCTCCACCTCCCAGGTGGAGCCCCTGAAGGCCGGTCAGTCCCCATAAAATAGAGCCTCCAGCGGGACCTTGGAAGTTTCCAGTCCCGGCGCCTCCATTTGGCAGCAAGAGCATCTTCTCGACACGCTCGGCCACTTCCACCCCCCCACACCTGGGCTTCAGCCCATAGTCACAACCCAGACCACTGACCTGGAGACACCCCCTCCACCTCCCAGGTGGAGCCCCTGAAGGCCGGTCAGTCCCCATAAAATAGAGCCTCCAGCGGGACCTTGGAAGTTTCCAGTCCCGGCGCCTCCATTTGGCAGCAAGAGCATCTTCTGTGGCCCCAGGACGCCCAGCCTGACCCAGCCCCTCGGGTTCTCTGAGGACATGCTGAGCTCAGGTGGAAGGGCTTTGGAAAGATCTTGTCACTGTAATGACAGAGACAACAAGCCCGGCCCAGGAGCCTAGGGCGGGAACCCCACCTGGGGGGCCGGGCTCCTGAGCCCAGGGCAGGCTGGGAAGACCTGCTAATAAGGGATGAGGCCCATTGGCCGTGGGTCCCAGGGAGCAGCGCCCCTCCGCGGCCCACGCAGGTACCATCACGCGTTTGACCGGGAACTCCTTCAGGCCCCTGTTCCTCGGAGAGTCGAAAACCACGGGCAGCGTCTTGTGCGGCGCTTGGATGTAGCCGATCTCCATTTCATCCTGCGTGGGGGCAAGGAGGGTACTGAGCGCACCACCCGGGTCTTGGTCCCGCAGCAAAGGGGGAGTGCAGCCGTCCACGCTGGCTCACGCCCTCTCACTCTGTGCTCTAAGGTCAATTCCAGCACGGAGACAGCAGAGCGTCCTAACCTGCACGCGTCCAGTGCAGGGCTGCTGTGACAGCAAGGGCATGGCACTGACCTCAAGGACACTGACCTCAAGGACTCTGCTCTAGGCAGAGGACACCTGCGTCAGGAGGAGGTGGGCAGGGAGGGTGGGTGTCTGTGGACACAGAGGACAGCCAATGCGGCTGGGGGAAGCCAAAGAAAAAACTCCTCCAGAGAGGCG